AGCTAATTCAATAAAGGCCACTAAGTGATTTTGATACTGCTAAGACAGATTCTTCAGGATACTGCATAGACTGTTGTATGTTTTCAGTACGTAGAAGACAGAATTCCCATTGAGTCTACTTGGGAGTGTGTGACCAGTATTATAACTCTGTGATGAGATTAGAAGGATTTTCAGGCCTCTGGAGCCAGATAGTCCTTGTGATCAGTTTGCATAAACAGTTCAATTTCCTTCTAAAGAATCACTGTTGGAATGTCCTCTTTGACCTTCAGGAAACGCCATATTGAAATATAATTTGGTACTTGGGAAGGTAATTTTTAACCCTCCATTAGTGTAGACTTTAACTCAAATTAGGTTTTATAAATTTAGCTACTTGGCTGAAAGCAGCTACTGCAGACACAGTTAATGATAGAAAAATTGTAGTTAAAGAAGCTGACTTGACTCTTAGAGATACATTGAGGCTGGTTTTCAATGAAAGGTCACTGGGTGATGTTGATGTGTCACTGTCATGGGGACCACCCCGCAAGCATGCCTGTACCTAACCGGATGCACCCAACAGGGTTGTGGGCTTGGGGGCCAATGAAAACTGAGACCACCACTCTGCTTGCCTACTCCTCCATTTATAGCATATCCAAGCCACAGTGGGTTGAAGGTCAGAACTCACTCTATGTGACCACAGTGCTTTAAAACTTGAGAAAGAACTCACGTCTGGATTTCAAAGCTCTTGTTTCATCACAGTGTAACCTTAAATGTTACTTAAAACCTCCCATTCCTTCATCTGCAAAATGAGAGTTGTGTTGGTGCTCTAACTTCTTGGAAGTATTATGATAAATAATGCATGTAAGCACAGGAAATACTCGTTAGGTGCGTGGTATTTGTCATCACAATTGCTACTATTAACTGCATTCACATGATCCATTATTTTAAAAAAGAACTATGAAGACAATCTATTAATATCAAACTGTATTTCCCAGTAAAGGAGAAAATTACATTAATGATCTATCTGGGGTGATTTTAAAAGTGTAGATGTGATTAGGATTATATTGGACATTGAGTCCCATGTACTCACACCCATAAACTCAAAAATCTAGTTGTTGTGTTAGCTTTAAAGAATATTATAAGGGTTGGGGAGAGACAGTTCAGGGGTGTGAGCACCTGCCTGGCAAGCACAATGCCCTGAGTTTGATCCCAGGTACCAAAAGACAGCCAAAAGTAATGACAACTACACATTCTCCAACAAGGCTTTTCTTGAGGGATCTTAGGATCAACCTTGTTAAACTGATGAAAGAAAAGGATCTTCCTTTCCTTCTCAATCTAAGTCATGTCTTTTATGTGTGCAGAAAGTAATCAAGGAAAGCTACAGGAATTGAGCACAAAGTTTGCTTTGTAGCTGAACTGGGGGCCTCCCCGTGGCACAGTTGGGTTTCATGTGGAGCCAGCTCACACAGACCTCCATCAGACGGCGCCACTGGGGAGAGGACAGGAGAGAATCATTTTCTGATGGAGCACTTTGGACTTAAGCAGAGTTACTAGCGTTCAGAAATAGAGCGCTGTGGATCCCACCAGAAGAGGAAGGTGGGAAATAATAACACATGTTAGCGCTTGTTATGCCAAGTAGGTCTTTTGCGTGGCTTTTGTTTATAGTGAAAGAGACAATGAAAATTTTAAGGTGCAAAATAAGTGTTGAATAAATGCTGCCTGTATTTACACATCCACGCACCCACTACGGGAAGCCTGTGAACCTCGCGGAGCAAAGAAATGCATTAAAGTATCAGTTGAGTAGGTCATTTTGAATGTAGGCTGCAAAATATCTGTGTGTGAAAAGCCACTACTATATTTTGAGAATGCCTTTCTAAGAATCCTGAAATATTAATAACATGGTCTTAATGTAGTCAGAGACAAAAGAATGTATTAAGTGTAGTGACGCCTGCAGAGAATAGCACAATGACAGTTCTGTATTTTCTGCTTGTGCTCATAAAAGCAAAAGAAAAAAAAAGTAAAAATAGTCAGTGTGTTAAAATATCAGCAGCACTCAATTTTCCAATTGCTCTCTCTTTCCCAAGCAAATTCATGTGAATTCATTCTGGGTGACATCTTCAAGGAAATACTATCTTCAAGGAAAAACAGGGCAAAATACAAAACTTGCAAATTAACTTTCCTCAATAACATCACACAATAAAGAAGCAGAATTTTTGATTAACAAATTGGAAGAAACACCTTCCAATGTGATTTTTTGTGAGCTTAATTTTCTTGTAAAACTAGAACATAGCTAGTTCTAAAGAAATATGGCAAGGGAGGACAACACAGCTGTGCCTTTCCTTTTCTTGCAAGCTAGTCGAAGGCGCCTCTGCACTTGTCAGTCATTGGCTAATTTTTGTCACCAGTCATCTCCTGGTGGCACTACATGATTTTGAGATTCAGCCCCTTGGTGAATTCAAAGCACCCAGGAGTCAGTCAATTGGAGCCACGCGCAATTTTTGTACTTTCTTGGCAGTGTGAACATGAATTGCTTCAAGCAACTTGTGTGCTTTGCCTGGGAGAATGACAGGTGGGAACTCAGGCCGTTGTGTTTGTGTTCCCGAGCTCTTTGTGTTTGCTGCGGGAAGGCCAGGTTTGACCCCCAGTGCTTCTTCCTGTTAAAACCAGGGTTTCTGATTTTCGTGGAAACCCTAGGGCCATCTTAAGCATGACCAAAACTTTCTTGCAAATTGAACCTTTTCTAATTATGCAATGTATATAAACGAGGGACACATAAATCTTAGCCATTGGAGCGACTTGTTTTTCTAAGATACTTCGGTCCACTGAAAGACGAAAGCAAATCAGGGCGAGATTGATCTCGGAGCGCTTTTATTGTTGGTGCTCCACACATCATAAAGTTTTGGCTCGTTAAAGGGAATTCCATAAACAAGTTTAGTTAATAAGAGTGGAATCACTGTGTGCCTTTCTGAGCCCCGCTAAGCGCCCTTTCCACTTGCCATTTTGAAGCTGTGATGTGGACAACCCCAGCAGGAGATGTGAGAGACAGGAGGAGGCCTTGGGTGCAGGCTGGACAGATGCTCGGGAGCCAGCGTAGCTAAGGAGTGGCGGCGCCTCTTCAGGGAGGACCAAGTGGTGTGCTGGATCTCCTTTGATCTGCTTGTAAGAGTTGGTGTGTTGCTAGCATGTTTGGCATCTCTTGGTGGTCAGATCAGCAGAAAACACCCTGTGACTTCTTCTCCCAACTGGTGGCTTTGTTAATATAAACACACCCTAAAGGACATAAAAAATGGAGACACTTCAGGGTGAATCACACTGGGAAGACTGTGGGTAACTAGGTTTTTTTTTTTTTTTTTTTTTTTTTTTAAACTTCTGCTAGAATGACTTTTAAGGGCTTTGCCTTTATAACTTTAATACTGATGATGCTGGTCATTTTTATTTGAGCTTTGGGCAGATTTGAGAGGTAATCACCGAAGCACACTTAGGGAAGAAAAAAGGAAGTGAAGCCCTATTAATTATTTTTTATTATGAGGTTTCATGGCATTATTGAATTTTTCCACATTACCAAGAGCAGTCCTCAATGTCAGTGAGGAGTTTATAAAGATGAAGTCATGGAAGCCTCAGGTGCACAGGCACGTGTATCACTGCGCTCTCCGAATCAGCCTCTGGGGCTGGGGGGTTGTGCATCACTGGGGAGCTGTGCTGCGAGATCGGAGGAGGGAAGAAGAGAAGGGCTTTATTAACTTGAGAATAAACACAAAATATATGCTGAGCTTTAAAAAGATCATCCTAGCATATTACATTCCGGAATCTACAATGAGTAGTTTTCATGACTTTGCCCTACTTTACAAAACCCTTGTCTTTTATATACTTGGTCAGTGTTGTTGGATTTCTTTCTTTTGACTCTCTCTGTAGCTGTAATTAGGAAATAATCACAGAGCAATTTTGCTTGTTAGATTTTGGACATGCATCCAATTGGGTGGTTAAGGACCACACTCTCGGATTCCAGGGCTTACAGCTAAGAGCACAGGCTTTGAGAGAAGGCCACTTGGGGTCAGAGTTGGTGGCTGACACTCACCAGACGCTGGTCTTGTACCAGTAATTGCTAGCCCCAAGCTGGGATTCCTCTTGTCTCTCTTCTCTCCTTCCTTTCCATGCTCTTCTGCCATTACTCCCCTCCTCCCTTCTCTCTGTCTTTCTGCCTGTCTCTGTCTCATCATCCTCATCCTCATCCTCATCCTAATCATCATCATCATCTTGTGGTACTAAGGAATGAACCAACAGCCTCCACACGGAGCTATATCCCTGGTACCTCTCCCTGCCTTT